TATCCTCGGCGATTGTTATTTTCTTAGATTTCTAAATTATCTATTCGTTCTGTTTTTTTTTAAATACACATTTTAATAGATCTTATAGTAATAACAATGCATATTTTATGCAACAATCCTATTTTTTCTTATTCTAATTACATTAACAGGGATCTAAACTATGATTGAAACATTATTTTGCAACAACAATCCTAAATATTACATAGGTAATATTCTATTAATGAATATTTAGATGCTCGCAGGGAATGCTAAAAATTCGGGTTCGACGTAATATTTTTCGCAATAAGAATTATTTAAGATTGTAATGTCATTCAGCATTATTAGGATCGTTTTAAGATACGCAAGAGCATTAAATTATTAAATTGCTAGTCAATTTAACTCATGATATTACTAATTTAGTATAGTTTGCTGTAGTTTCAAAAAAAATCATTTCGGTGCGCATTTTAAAGGACTACATAGTATATAAATTCACAGAATTATACAAGCACTTAAGACAATTAAGGCATTTATTTCCTATAGGTATAGTTCCTATAGGTATAGTTCCTATAGATATAGTTGTATTTCTCACATACGCGATCCTATGAGATTTATTATTAAATATTTAAATATTATGCATCGATATCTGTGTTAATTCATATTGGCTTTATTTCTTATTTCGTTTGATTTTTTTCTCAGTGTTTTACTTACATTACTTATTATTTGCTCGTAAATATTTGTTAGAAATGATTGAATGTTTAAAATACTTTCGAAATCAATTGTAATTTTAGACAATATTAAGCAACCCGAAACATATAAAAAAGAGTTTTATGTATATTTTCAAACCTTGGCTCGGAACTAGTCTTTTCACTAGTGAAAGTAATGTATTAATACATATAAGAAGGCATGTTTTACTATTAAATTTCTCTTTGACTATCAAGTTTTCATTATATTGATAATAAAATAAATTTGTAATGTAAATAAATTTAATTTGAAATTAAATTAAAAGATTATTCCTCATCCTTTATTCCTTATTTCGAATCATCATTTCACAATTGTACATTTTGTTGTTCATGTTTTAGGCGGTATTCACAGCGAAAGATATTAACTCCTACATTTCATTTTAATATATTGCAACGATTTGTCAAGATTTTCGACAAAGAAAGCAAAAACATGATGAAGTCCTTGAAAAAGGACTTAAGGAAAAATGATAAGGAAAAATGAAAGGCACAGTTGTAAAAAATTTATTACCATTTATTAGCGAACACACGCTGAATGCAATATGTGGTATTACAAAATTATACTAATTAATAAGTAAAATTAATAAATTTTCTTAATAATAAATGAATATGAATTTACAACTAACCAAAACAGAATTTTATTAACGAATAATATAAAATAAAATACAACTTTCTTTAATTCAAAATATCAATATACAACATTGTATCGATCAATATGTAATAATTTTTGCAATCGTAGATATTCTTGAAATATACATACATATTATATAGATATGTGAATGTACAGGTATTTCAAAAATATCTACGGCAAAATTTACATATTGATCAATACAGTGTACTTGTGTGTAGATATTGTGAATTAACTTAATCCTTGGACAGCGGACATCGGATAGTATCAACTCGCATGCACGGTGGATGCAAGGTCAAATGTGATCAAAGAGAGACAGTGTTTTAAAACATTTGAAAAGCAGTTTTTTTATTATAATATGTAGTAAATTATTTCAAATATATAAAAGATGAAATAAAAATACATATTTATTATAAAAATATCCATTTTTATTATAAAAATATTCATTTTTTTCACAGTTGAAAAAAATAAACAATTCTCTAATTCGCGAATCTCGCGAGACCCTGCGTCCGCCGGCGAAAAATTAAATATACAAATGCGCGCGCGCGTGTGTGTGTGTGTGTGTGTATGTGTATAATAATGTCATCGTAATATTTTCACAAACATGTTTGCAGAAACTGTTATGGGTACTTCTCTCAAAGATCTCGGTGAGTTCCAGCAACAGTATCTAAAAGCAATTCGTCAAATATGCGAGCTCTTTATTTATAGGTAATTTATGGGCATAATAAATAATATATTGGGATGTCCGGAAAGTTCGTACCGACTAACCTATATAATTTAATAAATGTATACTAAAATTTAAATTTTCTGCGTTTCCTTCAACATTTGACACAAATTTTCCGGACAATCCAATATTTCTCATTTTTATCTTAACGTATATACCTTAATATTTTATCATATCAAGATAAATAATATTTAATGTAAAACGTTGTTAGTAATTAGAAATTTAACACGTTAATTTATGCATAATAAATTATAATCTTTTCAATTGTTTATTTAAAAATAAATACTGCTTAAAGCTTTTAAAATTTTAAATGCTAAAGTATCACGAGAAAAAATAATAATTTAGTGTAAAGACGAATATATTTTTATGTAAGATTAAATAATTAAAAAAGTTATTGTGCATATACTGTGATTTTATATATGTCTTTAGTATAATTTTATTATTTAAATTTATTTTTATAATATTTCTAATTCTATATACATGTAGAGAAATTAAAGGAATTTTATAAAAAAACGATACTATCATCTTTTTAAAATAGCATGCCTATTATTTAGTAACTGTATTGTTACGTTTAGAATACAAAGACAATGGCTGCACTTTGGATATTCGCATTGACATCAAAAGATAGAGAATAAGCAAAGATTCTAGAAATATTGCATGAATTTACTGAACGAGTACGTTAAAATATTATTTAATATGATATTTAAATATGATGTATTTTAAAAAGTTACGATATCGCATTTAAACATTATCTATTTTGAGAAGTTATGATAATGATTTTATATAAAGAATGATTTTATATATCGTAAGATAAATCATAAGTATTGACAACACATTTATGGAAAAAAAAACATTAATGTTGTATTTATATATAGATTATTGCCGAAAGAAAACTTTATCATGAACAAACTAATGGTCAATATTTGAAAAGCTTTGACAATGATACAAGAAGCAAAAGAAGATGACGCAAAAATGATTGGAAGTACGTAATATAATCAGAAGATATTCTTTAATTTTGATATTATATTATAAATTATATTTTATGATTAAAATGATGCTCAAAAAATATCATGCTTATATACTTCGATTTAACGCGAAGGAAGGGCCTTGCAAGATCTTCTCATAGCGGCATCTCATAAAGGTCTGACTGATTTAGAGATTAGGCAGAATGTTGATACCATTATGTTCGGGGTATACGTTTAATTTATTATATTAATAATTTCTTGTGGATTTTTTAAATATAATATTTTGGTATACTGTTTGGTATAATGTTTATAATATGGTTATAGGGTCATGATATTACAGCGTCAAGTTTATGCTTCATTTTGACATTATTAGCTGAACACAAAGATATTTATCGTTAAATATAAACTGTTACTCTAGATAAAGAAATTAATTAATTCATTAACTCCAGGAATTATTTATTAAAATTGTATCAATATTAAACATTTTAACATTTTAATTAAATGTCTTTTTAAGCGCGTGCGCGCACAATTCGCTTTCCTATGTATCGACAGATATAAAAAAAATGTACATACACACATGTATGCAGTTGATATATATATATA